AAAGTCCTGTGGATCCCATGGCGATGGATGCAATTTCCTGGGCTCTGGCTGGTCCCGACATGGATCGCCAGCAGGAAGGTGAAGGCAGAGACAGTGGGAGTTCGGTGGTGGAGGTGGTTTCCCAGGACCCCCTTATGAGAAGGTGGAGAACAAAAGGAGGCACCGCCAGGCTGTGACCTGATTGGCAGGCTAGACTCTACCCCTACACTTTTACATCTTCAGGTTGATATGAAATTATGTAACTACCACAGACCACCTCTTGTCAAATTGACACTTTTACACAACTCTTTAGCCATACATACTTTTGAAAAGAAAGACAGCAGTAAAATCATATTTGTACCGAACAGGCTAAAACTAAAATACATACAACTCAAAATGTGCCAGCCTTGTTTAAACATAATATTCAATAAGTGAACAAAAAAAAATTCTATTCCTAACAAAATTAGAGATATGTGAACACCTACACCATAATCCTATGAAGGTATTCCCACCCATGACAGTTTGTAAGCCAGCCACTTCATGCCTTTATGACCCCAATTTTCAGTATCCAATTTCTACACTGCCCATTTATATCAGCCCAGTGCTTTGAGGAGACAAGCATGCTCTTTGATGAGGAGAATCTTCATTCCAGTTGGAACCTTGTGAGTTCACATCCATAGGCAAAATCAAATCAGCCCAGGACATCCATAAAGTCCGCAGCAATACGCACAGGCTCAAAAAGCTTATCTTGATCTGGTCAGGTTCTGGTCAACTTAATGTGGGTTGCCTCACTTAGCCTAAACAGGGTGCCCATTGGCCACCTTGCCTTTTGACCATGGGTCCCTTTACAGATTCTCAACACCCCTTATCCCCTGGGGCTAGGTCATGCCATCGGCTCAGGTTCCTCACAGCTTTTTAGACTTCAGACCAGCCAACCTGCTTTGTCTCCTCCTCCAGTCCCTGCGAACCAGGTCCCTGGGTGTCAGTGGTCAGACTGGACCATCTCTCTATTGCTGCTTTTCTTCCACTTCCACTGAACAAGTGGATCAAGGTGGTCACCTAGCAAGCCACAGGCTGCCTGCAGGCTTCTTTGAACACTCAGCCCAAGGGAGAAGACTTTCTTCATGGCTTCAATGTTTTCCAGTTTCAGGTGAGGCAGACTAGCAAAAGAATCTCCATTTTCTAGTGGCTGAATGACCTGCCCCCTCCCCCTTTCCATGTAGAAAGTCCCACTAGTGATCAACTTTAGTATGTATTCTCACATACCCAGGTCCTGGACACTACAGTTCGTTTAGACTATTCAATATATTGTTTGTTTTAATATTGTTCCTTTTGATGTTGTAATCTGAATGGTGTAGTTGATCTTGTTATGGTAACCAGAATGTTATAGTCAATTTTGGTATTGTTTCTTTCATGATAAGGAATGTACCTTGAAATGCATGCTTGCTCTTCTTGGAGTTGCCATTATGTTATAATCTATTCTGTACTCTGTAATGCTCCCTAACCCTAAAGAATAATAACATTGATTTTGCTCTCTGCTTCTGTCCATGCTTGCCTAAGGCTTAGACAAAGGATAAACGAGTTTTTCACTTTTAAAGATGAGCTGAAATGTGGACTCGAGACTGCAGAGAATCACTTTTAGATTCTAGTGGTCCGGGTATACCTGAATAAAGACTTTTCTAAATTATCAAGACATTCTAGTGGCTGTCATTTATTTGAACAGGGGCATAAAACACTAGTTCAAAATTCAAAAAGACCAAGTTCCTTTTTTATGTCTTCAGTCTGCCAACAACTCTCTCAGCAAGTCTTTCTGAATCAAATGTTCTGATCACTTAAGGCCCTGGGTTGGGTTGATCTTCTCAGAGCTTTCTTGGCAGGCATATCCTCTACCCATTTTAAGATCCAATTGAATGGCTGAAGGCAGTTGACTCACAAACTCTCTTTTCATACATTCCAATAGTCAGTTCTAACACACATTACATCAATAACAATAAGTAGAAGAAATCAGTACAAACCTAGTACAACCTGATCCTGAACGCAAATCTCCAAGCCCTCACCTCCAATCCTCTCTTAGCTAAACGATCTCATTCAGATGCAATACGGCCATAGGCCTCTGGCTGCATCAAGTCAGGGAGGAGCTTCCTGTCCACCATTTGACTTTCTATCAGCCATTTTGACTAACAGCATGGTCTCCAAGGAGAAAATCAAGGGGAAATTTTGCTCAAAATGTACATGAATCACATTCATTTTCACCATTTCAGACAGGAATATCCAAAGACTACAAAGAAAGAAAAGAATCAAAACTCTAACTTCCCACATTCTTTCCAGAAAACAACCGAGTAAACAGTGTGGGCCTATCTGACCTCTAGCTGGCCAAAGACGAAGAAAAACGACCATAAGGTAGAAGTCAGATAAGCATCCACTCGCCATTTTCATGATTTATTTCTCTAGTACCCCACTCCCAAGGTACCATTATATGTTAGGCCAGGTTGGGTAGAGAAACAAATCTAGAGACACTCATAGATGTATAAGAGAGAGCTTTATATCAAGAAGCTTTATATATTAGGAAAACATTCTAGTCCAATCCAACTCATGTCCATAAGTCTGATATTTGTCCACACATCCCCCTTCAGACTCACACAGCCACATACAAGGATGCAGGATGCAGGGAGGTCACAGGCTGATGGGTGCAAAGTTCTGTTCATCCAATGCTGGTGAATGCATCTCCAGGGCTCTGGCAGCTCAGCGTGGCTCACCATCAGGAAGGTGAAGGCAGAGACACATGAGGATGTTCCCAAGGCCATCCTTTAAAGAAAGTTGAACTTACAAGAAGGCATAATTAGGCTGTGCTTTGATTGGCAGGCTAGACTCCACCCCTTCACTTTCATATGTTCAAGTAGACATGGAAGTATGTAACTACCACATAGGATGATTGGGTGCTTTTCATTTCATCCAATGGAAATTTCTGATGGCTTCTTAATTTACCAAAAAACCATAGGTATAGCATTTATCCTGTGAATTACCAAGATGTTTGAAAGTGATCAGCATAAATCAGGTAAATATACAAAAACGAGTACTTTTCATCAAGACTCCTGCTCCTCAGTTCCTACCCACTACCAATCCATTCAATCCGTCGCATAATCAAATAGATCATTAGAATATTTGTGAATACATTGTCTGTAGGGCTACACACTGAGCTGCTAACCACAAGGTCAATAGTTCAAACCCAGGAGACACTGTAAGAGAAAACTGAGATTATCTACTTCCTTAATGATTTGCAGTCTAATCCGGGCAGTTTTATTTCATTTTGATTGAAAATATGCACAGCAAACCAAGCACGTAGTCAACTGTTCCTACATGAAAACTGAATGAAGTTGATTTCAACCATTTTCACCCTCCTTTTCTGAGTCATCCCCCATCCCCACCCCTCAGTTAACCTAAACTCACTGCCTACTAACATTACTATGTGTAATAAGACTATATGACATGAGAGTGTCGTCATTTAGCCTCTAACTTCCTAGGTGGAGAGGAAAGTAAAACTCCATATCAACATCACTCCAGGCTGAATTCCCCAACTGAGCTCAGACATGTCCCACCCTCCAATATTCCAACCAGTCCTGACTCCAAATCTCCCCCTAAACAGCTCGTTTTATTTCTCAGTGGGGTTTGTTCATTCATGGCCATGGCCACACAGAACTCACAGATAGTACTCACCTGTTTAAGGTGAATTGAGGAAGGTAAGGGGTTACAATTGCTCAGGATACAATTACTTGCACAGGACAGTCTCTTCTTAACGGGGCAGCAGACAGGTATCTCTTGGATTCCCAGTCACAGGCCACTTTGGCTTCTGCCCTGTGTGTGCAATGTTACAAAGCTCTTTTTAGAGCTGCCAATAATTGTCCATAGGCCAACCCATCTTTCCCTAGGCGTCATCTCAAAGGTGCTCATCTAGCTCCTAGGGTTAGCACCCAATTAAGTGCCTGGAGACATCCTACTTCACAAGCCTACCTCCCACCCGAAAGCACTCAGCTGGACTTGCTTTGTGGGCTGGGAAGGCCATCACTCTGTCTCATGCTCTGGTTCTCGGTTCTGGTTCTGAGGCTACTGCTCTTCTGCCATTGTGCTAATGTTGTGGCCTCAAAACTGTCTCCTGAATCAAGGCGGTCCAATGCACAGCAATCTTGGGGTGCAAAGGACAAGCTCTCCTCCTGGTTCTTCCCTCTTGCAGGACTTATCTAAGCATGCGCACCTTGATGAAGCAACAAAAGGACTAAAACAGTTTGTGAACTGATGCCAAGACTCAAATGTAATTAGATCTCCTTTTGTGGACTTCTGTCTTTTATAACTTAAGTACATTAGAGTTGAAACTCTAAAATCATTGCTCTGTTTTTTCATTGATCTTCTGAGTCATCCCTCCCCTGCAGTTACATAGGGGTAACAGAGTTTTCTGCTACTTAATGCTTACACTACTAAATCCACTCTCCAATATTTACTGTGATCTCTGCAGGCTGGAAATCATTCTGGTGCAATTTCTCTAACCTTTGGACCCTGATCCTGCTTTTTTGAAACCGTTCCTTTCTCAATACTGTGCAGCATAGTCAACGACTCGAAGGTTTGAATATTGGCATTTTCAGTCCACGCTAGACAGCAGCCTCTTGGGATGGCGTCAGATTATTTGTGGTTTGAAGGCATCCCTTTCCCCTCAGTTGGATATCGAACTGAAGATCTGAAATCTGTCAAAAATGAATTTGTAGTGAGAGATGGAGATGTCATTATGCTTTCTTTCCCAAAATCAGGTAAGGAGACAGGCTTTGCAAATTGAAAGGCTGTGGAATGAGGTTATTAACCAAGTCACTTTTCTGTGCCTCACACTGCTCTATGTTCCGGGGACTACAGTGGTGTCCTGTTGGGTTTTTTCTGGTTGCAGCGGGTTGTTTCTGTGAACCAGTGACTATATCCTTAATGGTTTCTGATCTTGGCTTGTGCCAACCTGTTTATTTCCCTAGTGAGTCTCCTTTAGTTGTAAGTGTTGCCTTTGAGATGTGTGCGGCCAATGCAAAGGATTATCAAACTCAGCAGAGAAGTGGACTTGTGGATGAAGAGTAAGTGCCAGAATAGAGTAAGAGAAGGCTAGAAGGTGGAGGCATCTCTGACCCTTACCTGTGGCAGTCAGCCTTTGGGTGGTAAGGAATTGAATTCCCTTCTCCTTTGTGTACTGTGGGGAGCAGAGAACAGGAAGAGCGTGTATATGGATGAATTCTTGATTCTCATAAACTAAGAAGCCTGGCACGCTGGGTTTCTGGGATGGAAGGAGGCCTTCACCCTTGTGAGTTGGAGGTAAGTCCCAATCCCATTCTCATCATTAATGTTGTTCTCCACTATACCCTCCCATAATAGTGCTACCTTAAAATTACCTCTTACAAGCTCATGGCTGATTACTATATAGTTGGCAGCTTTTTGTTCACTCTAATAGACATGATCCTTTTGTTCTCTCTTCCTGGAGCGAACCCCCCCCCCCCCTTGTACCTTCCTCCAATGCAGGTATTAGGTTTCCTCACCTGTGATCTCAAGGACCTTACTGTAGATACCACCCACCTTGTGATGCATGTAACTACTGAATATGCATGTCTTAAGGCTACCTATAAATGTCCCAAGATAGCAAGGGTTCGCTCTCTCTTCTCCCAGTTCCATGTGGTCCATCAAGAGGAGCTGAGGTTAGCATGCTACCATAAAATCTGTCTGACTCCCTTATTTTACTCTGTCTCCTATCTTTTGTATCCTCTATGACTTTATGATAATTTTTATATATTATTGCCATACAATTGCACCTACTGGCCCTTTGATTGTTGGAGGCCGGCTTCCACTGACAGTGTGCTAACCCAGAAAAGGTCATACATGTCTCCTCGCTGTGTTCACACATCCAAAAAAACCCCAAGCTTTGCTGGTCACTAGAGTTGGGAAGGAAACGTAGGGAAGGGGAAGGAACAGGCTAGAGGGTAGGCTTGTTAACTGGGTGAAGGTGACAATAATCTTCTACAAGATGGAGGAGAAGTAAAAAACGGAGGAACAGAGCCAGCTCTTCACAGGTATGATAGTGCTTAAATTGTGGAATATAAAAATGATGGTCTGAAATACATCCACTCTGCTAGTCCAGGTTGACTAGAGAAACAAATTCATAGACACTCATATGTGTGCAAGAGAGAACTTTATAACAAAGAAAACATCCCAGCCCAGTCCAGATCAAGTCCATAATTCTGATTTTAGCCCATATGTCGATACTAGTCCATAAATTCCTCTTTAGACTCATGCAGTGATGCTGAATGCAGGAAGATCACAGGCCAGTGGGTGGAAAGTCTTGGGGATCCAGAGGCAGTGAAAACATCTCAATGGTGGCAGAGGTCTGCAAGTGGCTCCTCTAGCTCCAGGGCTCTAGCGTAGCTCCATGTGTCTTATCACTGGAAGATGAAGCAGAGTGTCTGTATCTGACCTCCAGTGAGCTATTTATCTCGCTGGTGCCTCCAAACGACGTCATCACGCTGCGACCTGATTGACAGGCTAGACTCCACCCCTTCGCAAGTTGACATCAGATTATGTAACTACCACAGACCACCTAATTCACAATAAAAAATAAACAAACAAAACTATGTCTACTTAAGTCTATGAGGGAGTAAGTAGTATTACAGTATTCCTGCTACTATAGAAAACTATCAATCTACGTCTATCTATATAAGATAGGCAGGATAAACAATCCCGAGGAGAAAACAACTGGACCGGTTGTTGTGGGGGGACATGGGAGAGAAGGGGGTGGGGAGGGGGAGCAGAGAGCCAACAAACTCAGGGACAAGGGAACAGCAAGATATCTAAAATTGGTAGCAAGGAGGGCGTAGAATGCCTGGTGGGGTTTGATCAAGTGCAATGTATCTGAGAGGAATTACTGAGGGCTGAATAGAGGGTGAGCATAATCGTGGGACAGGAGGAAGGTGAAAGGAAATAGAGGAAAGTACTAGGAGGCAAAAGCTATTTATAGAGGTATTGGTATAGGCTTTTATGTAAATATATTAATTTATAATGATAAGAATATAAGTCAATGTACATATATTAATCTGTTAAGTATTAAGATAGCAGATGGATTTGGGGCCTCTACTCAAGATCTTCCAAAACACAAGAACACTTTGTTCTAATAACCTGGCACTCTTTGATACTCACCTTCCTGACACTATCGCTGAAGACAAAATGAGTGCATAAGCAAATGTAGTGAAGAAAGTAGATGGTGCTGGGATATCAAAAGCTATAGATTCTGGGGTCTTAAAGGCTTAGAGTTAAGCAAGCAGGCATCTAGCATGGAAGCAATAAAGCCCACATGTAAGAAGCACACTAGCCTATGTGATCATGAGGTGTTGACAGGATCAAAGATCCAGAACAAACAATTATATTGATGCAAACGAGGAGGGTCAGTGTGTAGACCCAAAGCCCATTTGTAGACAATTGGACATCCCTTCACAAAAGGGTCATAAAGAAGGGACAATTCAATCAGGGTGCAGTATAGCACTGGTGAAACACAAAAAATTGCTTTAGTTTCTGAATGCTTCCTCCTCCCTACTAACATGAATCTGTTCTATCTTACAAATCCGGCAAGACCAGAGTACACACATTGGTACAGATAGATGCTCTCAACACATGGAATGCAGGACAGATAAACCCCCTCTGGAATAGTAGTGGAAGTAGCGATACCATGAAGGTAAGGGAGGGTGGGGATGGGGAGAAAGGTCAAACTGATCGCAAAGTTGGATATGTAACCCCACCCCCCACTCAGAGGGGGATGAATAATAGAAATATGGGTGAAGGGAGACAATGCATGGTGTAAGATATGAAATAACAACAATAAAATAGAATTGATCAAGGATTGATGAGATGGTAGGGTTGCGGAGGGAGGGGAAAAAAGAGGAGCTGGTTTCAGGGCTCAAGTAGAAAGAAAATGTTTTTGAAGCGATGATTGAAACATGTGTATAATGGCATTATGTCCATTGTATTAAGTGCACTTAATATACAATTATACACTAAGTATACAATTGTACACTCAGTATACAGTTACATACCAGGCAACAAGTTGTCAGAAGAAAGCAAAATGAGATGTTATAAGACAAAGATTCATAATTGAAAGCAACCAAAAAGTAACCTTTTGGCCCAGTTCCTTTCCAGCTCAGTCTGACTTCTGCGGGTCAGGAGACACAGTTAAAGATGATGATGGCACTCCTCAGAATGATGGGCTTTGGATTTTTGTGGGATTTTTTTGCCCTTCATTATTCTCTCTTCCCATTGCCGCATGTAATGGGAAAGAGCCATGGTGGGCTTATGGGGTATGACAAATGATTGGGATATTATATATATATATTATATTGGATTGGAAGAAAGAACAGATTGAGCAGCAGAAACCCGGGTTGTAGGAAATCATAATAATTTTCTATTCACAGCAATCAAAAGTGCACTGTACTTTGAGAAGAAAGAATGACTTGGATGGAGAAATGATGTCATTTGAGCATGGAAATGTAATGGGGTTCCCAGTCATGGATATTGTGGGTGAATTTGTAAGTGTTGTAAGATAGGGTTGTGCTGCCAAAAGTCAGGTGAAGGAGGTTACCCTCTTTTTTCTTTCCTTGTTTCAGGAACCAATTGGTTGAGGGAGATCATCAGTCTTATCTACTCCAAGGGAGATCCCAACTGGATTCGATCTGTTCCCATATGGGATCGTTCACCATGGTTAGAAACTAAAGCAGGTTATGAACAGTTACAAAAAAAGGAAGGCGCACGCATATACACCAGCCACCTGCCCATTCAATTATTTCCCAAATCGTTCTTTGATTCCAAGGCCAAGGTCAGTTAATAATGACGACATCGCAGTTGAATGTCTCGGTTGGATGCTGTGTCTTAGAGGCAGAGCTAGCACGTGATTCATGAAGGAGCCTAACAGACGCTCTTGATTAACGCATCATTGTCATATCCTAGTTAATCTCCTTGGTGTAGCTTTCAGAGAATAATGAGACTACAGTAGTCAAATAAATTCTTGCCTCAACTCAGTCTGAACACTGTGTTCCCTATGTAAATGTCCTCAATTATAAATCAACTCTTACAATCTCAAGGAATTTTGAATTTTGAGCTCATGTTAGAAAATCAGTTAGGTTTCTCTACTCCGTAGTTCCTCTATGGATGGCATATCTTGACCAGTCAACGACTGCACCTTGTCTCTGATGAATAATTTCAAGCTCTTTCTTGGCACGACCCCAGGGCTATAATGTGAATTTGTTCTCTTCTTGGACTATACTTTTAAAACAAATGACACCAAATACATTATCCAAGTTGCATAAATTCTCTCAACCCATCATATCTGGCAGTAGAAGCATGATCAGATTATCCTAGGATTGTTCTTTGCTGTTAAGTGCAGTCGAGTCATTTCCAGCTCAGGCTGACCCTATGTACAACCGATTGAAATGCTGCCTGATAGTGTGACTAATTTCTTTTATGGGAATCAACTCAAATCTGGTACTAAGGATGCCCCAAATATCTACCTTTTCAAAACTGCTGTACCACTCCTTCCTCTGTAACGTTAACTACACCTCTTCCCTACAGTATTCTCCCTCCCGTCTTTATGTTCCACGATTCATTGTAATGTCTCAGAGAACTCACTGATCTTCAAGGACATGGCACATGTAGTCTTGAAAGATGGCAAGTCCCACTTTTGGTAGTCAGGAATCAGACTGGGGGATTCTTCTAATTCACATGCTTCCAGAGACGGACAGGCCCAACTAGGCAGGTCAGTTCACATGCTTTTGCCTCAATTTCCAAGAACTGCGGGGTGATGATAATCAGCTGGATCTGGGATCCAGAGCAAGAGAGAGAATGTTTCCTGGACGTAAGCATACTAGTAACATACAATGGAAATGTTCCTTAACCTGATGAAACCCCCACATATGAAGACCCTCAAGGAAATGTCCGTTACTTGGGCCAGGAGGTATAAGCCTCTGAGGCATGATGACTGGGGAAGGGTGACAGCCCGAGGCATACTTTCTATCAGGCCAGTGACTCAGGCTACACCACATCCTAATTCTACCTCATCATAGACAACTCTCTCCAAAATGGGACCATAACCAAAGGTGTGTTGTGGTGGCGGGTAGGTGCTGTGTTAGTCCAGGTTGACTAGAGAAACAACTCCAGAGATAACCATCTATGTGTAAGAGAGAGCTTTATATCAAAGAGCAATTGTGTGCTGAGAAAGCCTCCCAGCGCAGTCCAGATCAAGTCTGTAAGTCTGACATTAACTTATACGTCCGATAATAGTCCATACATTGCTCTTCAGACTCATACAGCACATTCAATCATGCTGAACGCAGGCCGATCAGGCCAGTGGGTGAAAAGTCTTGTGGATCCAGTGGTAAGGCAAGCATCTCAGGGCTGGTATGATGCTCCTCCAGCTCTCTGAGTGTCTCAACAGCAGGAAAGTGAAGCAGAGAGAGAGTGGGGCCCTCCTCTACAGAGAAAGAGGGAACGTTCCAAGAATCCTCATAATTAGGAAAGGCCCACCAGGAGGCATCATCAGGCTGTGACCTGATTGGCAGGCTGAGCTCTACCCCTGCATTGTGTTACCAAGTTGACGCGAGATTGTGTAACCACCACAGGTGTCCAGTAGGTTGGGGCTCATGGCAAATCTATGGCCAACATAGCAACTGCTGCCCAGTCCTGCGCCATCCTCACGGTTGATTGGTTTGAGTTTACCGTTGCAGCCTCTGCATCAGTTCGTTGCATTGAGGGGCTTCCTCTTTTCCCCTGACCCTCTGCTTTATGATGTCCTTTCCAGGGACTGGCCGCTCCTATTAACACGTCCAAAGTACTTGGGGCAAAGTCTTGAAATGCTCACTCTCAAGGAGCATTCTGTTTGCATCTCTTCAACGAGAGCTCTCTCTGTCCTTGTGGTAGTCTGTGGTACTTTCGATATTCTTTACCAACCACCTTAGGTTTTGTTTTTTCCATTCTTCCTTATTCATTATCCAACGTTCACGAATAGTTGAGGTGCTTGACAATACTATGCCATTAAGGTCAACTCTACCAGGGGACATTCTGAAACTCCCTGCCATCGAGTCAATGGTGACTCAGTGGGAATTCCTGTGAGTTTCTGAGACGGACACTGTTTAATGAAGTAGAAAGCATGGTCTTTCTAACACAGAGCGGCTGGACCGTGGGGACCGCTGTTCGGGGAGTAACCCCTACACCACTGGGGCTCCCTTCTTCGAGGCCTGGAAGGTAGGATTTACAATTCATCACAAAATGAAAGACGCATCACAGCACCATCTGGAGAGGCTGACACGATGAGATGGATCGGCAGAGTGGCTGCCACCATGGGCTCAGACATGACGATTGTGCGGAGGGCCCGGGAACTGGTGGTGCTTTCTTGTGTTATGCATCAGGTCACTATAAGTAGGGACTGACTCGACAACACATCACAACTGCAACATTACAATGTGGTCATTGAGTCCATTGTGTAGATTTCAGGATGAAACCTTTGTATTATGGACCATCAACCTCTGTGTGGTAAGTGCTTGGAAACTGTTGCTCTCGTAGGGGTTCCAACGTAAAGACGCTGAGACTTGGAGGGTAAAGTGCCCGCAATGTCAGTGAGGTATCCGAGCAAAATGCAGATCTCCTGGTACATCTATTTGTTAAAGTCGGGGTTAAAAACTGTTATTGAGATTTAGGTGACGGTTTAGAGAGCAGATCACGACCTTGACATTAACAAATGTACACACACTTCATTTAAACTCAACTACTTCGATCTCAGTGCCACATGGCTTATTCCACTTCCTCCCAGTGTTTCCAATTTCCATTTATCCTTCCTTCCTAACCTTAGTCCTTGGGTCCATGATGCTCTTGTGAGCTTAAATGACGCATTATGCTAACATGGGTAAGCACATAATTTTTTCAAATTATGAAAAAA